TCGCCAATGCGCAGCAGTCAAGTTGATACGTGGCGTTGAAACCCCGAGAATCATGTTTTGGCATGCTGCAGGATCTTCATACGGTTGTCTTCCAACGATGCAACTCCCTCAATGGGAATGAACCGTTGAAGGGGCCTATGAAGAGGAAGCTTGGAGGGCGGGCTCAATTCCAACTTCGTTGATGACTCTTGGGTTTACACTGGTCCTCCTCCTCCTTCCCCTCCGCCCTCCTCCTCCTCCTCCTCTTATTATGATTGTTCTTCATATTCGTCTTCTTATTCTTCTTGTTATTATTCTTATTATTTCTATTTTCTTATTATTCTTAGTAGTAGTATTATTATTAGTATTACTATTATTAGTCTTCTTCTTATTATCATTATTGTTCATGTTTTTCTTCGTATTATGTTTGATTATCCTTAGTATACGTAATATTCTTCCCCTTCTTATATTATTATTCTTCGTTTTATTCCTCTTTTTGTTATTATTATTATTCTTCCTCCTCCTCCTCCTACTCCTCCTCCTCCTCCTCCTCCTCCTCCCTCCTCCCTCCTCCCTCCTCCCTCCTATCCTCCTCCTCCTCCTCCTCCTCCTCCTCCTCCTCCTCCTCCTCCTCCTCCTCCTCCTCTCCTCCCTCCTCCCGCCTCCTCCTCCCCATCCTCCCTCCTCCCTCCTCCCTCCTCCCTCCTCCCTCCTCCCTCCTCCCTCCTCCCTCCTGCCTCCTTCACTTGGCATACAGTCAGCCACATTGCTATTGGACATCCAGAAGTTCTACGACAACATCAAGCTCGCCAACCTCATCATGGTCGGCCTCAACTGCGGCTTCCCACCCATCGTTCTACTTCTGGAAGTACAGCTATATCTCGCGCCCAGATTCTTGCGCAGCCGACAATGGGTGAGTATGCCTATCTTCGCCTCCAAAGGCATCATCGCAGGCTCCCCGCATGGCACGACCTTGGCGCGACTCATATTACTTCCTATTCTACGGCAAGCCCAAGCTCAGGCCGAGCTAGCCCAGATGTGGACCTTCGTAGACGACACCGTCCTTCGAGTCGAAGGAGTCCTACGCACACTTCAGAAGCACCTCCCCCGTGCCGCCAAGACGCTCTGCGACGGTTTAAAGGAGTTCGAGCTGCCCATCTCCGACAAGACGGTCCTCATCGGCTCCACCCCCAAGGTCCGCAAATCGCTCGCCAAGAAGTTGCGGCAGTACGACATTCCTGCCACAGCGACCGCCACGGCCGTGGACCTCGGAGTCGACGCGGCTGCGGCTACTCGACGAGTACAAGCAAAAGCCAGGAAGCGACAGAGCTCAGCCGCAGCTAGGTTTCGCAAGATACACCAACTACGGAGCACTGCACAGCAGGCTCGAATCTCAGCAGGACTGTGGCGTACTGGCGCTCTCCCCGAAGGAGTCTTCGGTCATCAGGTGCACGGCCTTGCTCGACACGCTCTACTACGATGGCGCCGTCAGGCCGCCATCGCGGCCACGGGGGCCGCTGCGGGCCGATGCCTCACCTCCCTCCTCGGCGCCACCTTCGACGGCATGGACCCAGGAGTTTCCCTAAGAATCGAGTTCATCGAGGCTTGGCTCCAGCACTGGATACGCCACCCGAGCACGCGCGCCAGGATCATCAGAGCATGGCCAAGGATCAAGACCACCTTGCTAGCCGCAGGCCCCAAGCTGTGGTGCAGGGTCAAGGGGCCCACTGGCGCGGCCATCGCGACACTGCTGGAGGCCAGCTGGGAGCCGACCTCAGCCACCACGTGGAGTCGCACAAAGGACGGCTACATTGAGGAGTGGAACCTCCCCTCTGCCCACGACCCTGACCTCCCCGACGCCGACATCCACACAGTATTGCAGGACCTCAGCGAGGATTTGCACAGGCTCCTTTGGACTCAGGCCGCTACCCATGACCATGGCGACACGCTGGCTGGAGGAGCGGACATGGTCACTATCCGCATCGAGCAAAGGAGGTTCCTCGCAAACGGTGATTTCAGCGACTGGGCCCTCAACAACACCGTCATCAGTGGAGGACAATGGACCAGGGACCGCCTCCACAACTCGGGCTACCAGATCGACAGGAACTGCGACCGATGCAGCGCAGGAGTCCCTGAAACCCTGTTTCACCGTATGTGGCAGTGTGAGGCGAACGTGGGACCTGAGTTTGAGGCCAGTGACAAGCTACTACCGCGAGCCGTGGCGGGGGCCGAAGCTGACCCTGCCCTGTGGCTCCGTGGCATTCCCTCCGCCGCTCTCACTACGCCCGCGTTCGAGCCATTGACTGGGAGGGACGGGTGGGAGTTTGTTGGTGCGGTGCGGGATGGGTTGCCGTCGTGGGAAGGAGCTCGTAACGCCGAGGGCGAGTTGTTTCTTTTTGGCGACGGGTCTGGCGGCGCCTATTCCGACGACGTCAGACGAAGACGTGTTGGTTCTGGCCTCGCGGCCCTCCGATGGGACCCTCCCTCGGCCTCCTGGGCCCTCCATGCTGGCCTCCTCGCCCCCCTCCCAGGCCCCCGCCAGGCTGTCCCAAGAGGCGAATTGCATGCGTTTTGCCTGGCTCTCGAGACGTGCCAGCAGGATTTCACGTTTGTTACTGATCACCTAGCCCTACAGCGCGGCTGGCAGAATGGCAGATGTCTCCGACCTGGCAGCCTCAGAGGCAAGAATATGAATGGGGATCTCTGGCTGAGAATTCGGCACCTCGTGCAGGATCGATCTGGCGGCTGCTCTTCGGTCTCGGTGCTCTGGACCCCATCTCATGCCGATCCCCTCTCTCTGAATGGTTTCCAAAAATTTATGGCTCTCGGCAACCAGCATGCCGATGAGCTCGCGGGAAGCGCGGCCCACAAGTCGGCCACCCTTGCCCTCCCGCCTGTCCCCAGGACTGATGAATATGACGCTATTGCAGCCATCGTCCGACAGAGGGCCCGACTGATCTTACGTTCCCTAGGCAAGAATTCAGAGCCTCGAGGACAGTGGCCAGAAAGGCAACCCACCCAAGTTGCAGCCCCTCGCTCTCAGTTGCAGACCGCGATCGCGGCTTCTCAGCACAAATTCGAGCGGTGTGCAGACAAATGGAGATGCCCTGCTTGCCTCATCATCGTTGACGCGTGCCACGTTATTCCAGCTGCTGCCACTGAGTGTGTGCCGCCTTGCCCCCTTCCCGAGTTCGCCGCGTGTGGAGAGGTGCTGTGGTCGAGGGGTCCCCGCGTGATCAGTGGCAAGTTGATCCACCCCTCCCACTTTGTGGCCACCATCCCCAAGTGGCAGTTGTTCTTTTGTGTGAAGTGCGGCCATACGGCCACGCACCAGGTTAAAAGCCTTCTTTTGCCGCGCCCTCTCTCCCACCAAGTGGGAGAGCGCAGGGCCCTGGGACCCACTGGCAAAGGCCTCGAGAACCTCAGCAGGATCAGGCGAGGCCTCCACCCGTCCAGAGCGGGTCCCAGCAAGGCAGTGCTTGAAGCTTTGCACGTTTCGGCAGCCGAAGCCGCGATCGGTTCCTTCGCGGCTGGTGCTGCCACCGAGTAAATTGCGAGGCCAGGGGGGCCTGTCGCGGTTGGCCGTGGGATGTCGCCCCCCACGGCCCTCCGAGAAATTCTGGATGGCCCCCCTGGCATCCCTGGGTTCCGAACGGACTACGTCCGATTGCTCCACTCCACTCCCTCCTGCCTCCTCCCTCCTCCCTCCTCCCTCCTCCCTCCACCCTCCTCCCTCCTCCTCTCCTTCCTCCTCCCTCCTCCCTCCTCCCTCCTCCCTCCTCCCTCCTCCCTCCTCCCTCCTCCCTCCTCCCTCCTCCCTCGCTCCCTCCCTCCTCCTCCCTCCTCCTCCTCCCCTCCCTCCTCCCTCCTCCCTCCTCCCTCCTCCCTCCTCCCTCCTCCCCCCTCCCCCTGCCTCCTCCTCCTCCTCCTCCCTCCTCCTCCTCCTCCTCTCCTCGCTCCTCCTCCTCCTCCTCCTCCCCTCCTCCTCCTCCTCCTCCTCCTCCTCCTCCTCCTCCTCCTCCTCCTCCTCCTCCTCCTCCTCCTCCTCCTCTTTCTTCTCCTCCCCTGAATTATCATCCTGCCGATCGCGACCCCCGATCGCATGCCCCCACCAACGCCGATCGTGATGGCAGCTCGCCGCACCACGCGGGGCTCACAAGCCATGCACTCCCCCTCGTCCCACATCCCTCCTCCTCTACTCCCTCTCAACTCCACCGCCCCCCATCCCATGCAGCTCCGATCCCCCCTCCTCTCCTCTCCTTCAACTCCACTTCAACTCCACTTCAAGTTCCTTGCCCCGACTCCACTCCATCCTCCTTCCCCCCATCCCCGCTTCCCCGCCGTTCCCCCACTCCCCCCGCACCCCCTCGCCACCTTCTCGCCCCAAATCCTCATTCACCGTACCCCATCCCACTCCCCCTCTCCCCGCCCACCTCCCCGAGTGTTTCTCCGACGGCCCTGGGGCCCGGCAAGAGCCCCCCCAAAACGACCGAAAGCGAAGGGGCCGGGGGTACCCTGAGATCCGACGCAGCGCAAAATAATACCACATCAAGACAAATCACGAACAAATCCAACACCAAAACAAATACAACATCAAAACAAATCACGACCAAATCCGACAGCACAGCGAAAAAACAACAACATCAACAAACAATCACGACCAGATCCACAAACACCGCCTTGCGACGCTGTGTTTTGAAAGACGGATCGATACAGTATGTGGAGTGTCCCGTAGCGCGAACCTGGGCGACAACGCCTGGCTGGAAAAAAAGAACTGGGACGCCAGAATCACAGGGAAGAAATAGTTTTGGGTCTGGCCTGTCCCCCTACAGGCGGATGTTGGACGAAAACTGCAAATACCAAAACATACCAAAAATAGTCAGGAATTGTCACAAAATCGTCCCCAGACCATGCTTCTACTAATTTTGAAGATCCCTCCTGTAGAGGGACAGGCCCGACTTTAAAAAATAGTTCTGCAGGCCTGGGCCACGGGGGGTACCGGAGCACGCTGCGCCCGGGGCCCGCGATGAGAAGTAGTTGATGATCGGCCGGACCGCCGCTTCAGACCAGGACTCGCCGGTGAGGATCTGGAACATCGTGTACAAGGACGACAGGAAATCGCCGTAGTAGTCGGCGCCGAAGCAGAGGTCCCGCGAGGTGATTCGCACGCCCTCCGGGTCCTGGCTCTGGCCCAGGGGCGGGTCGCGGGCGCTGCTCTCCTTGCAGTCCGCGTAGAGGCCGCTGAAGAAGTCCACGGCCAGCACGGAGAAGATGCACATGATGATTAGCAGAACGACGAGGGCGTAGGACACGCCCGCCGCGGCACCGATGAGCGAGTCGATCATCTGGCGGAGAGAGGGGACGAAGCGGAAGAGGCGGAAGATGCGGAAGGCCCGGAGCATGCGGAGCATCTTGAGGGGCCCGGGCAGCGGCACGTTGCACAGGTCCAGGGTGCCGAGGCCCACGACCACGCAGTCAAACAGGTTCCAATTCCAGCTGGGTCCCCTGAAGAAGTCCTCGTACCAGCTCCCGTACATGTTCACCAGGAGCTCGATCAGGAAGATGAGGTTGAAAATGGACTGCGCCTTGTCGAAGTACGCGCCGGCGGTCTGGTTGAAGGCCGTCTCGCTCCTTCCCTCGTCGGCGAGGAGCATGTCGTGCGCTGGGATGATCTGCCGCTGCACGCACTGCATGAAGAAGTTCAAGAAGATAAAGGTGGCCACGGTGATCTCCACTTGGAGCTTGTGACGAGGAAGGACCAAGCGACGGCATAGACATAAGCTTCCAGATGACCGCGCGGATTCCTTGACTCCGAGATGGACCGCCCCTCCCCGCGCACCCTGCCCAGCGCGCGAGGCGCTGGGCCAGAAGCGCCGCCGGGGATGCGGGGGGAAAGTGACCAGTGCTGGCGCCCCCGAACACGTGCGCGGACATCCGAAAGCGCAGGTCTATGCAGCTCTCCGTCCTTCCGTGATAGAAGTCGTACACCTTCAGCTGGTACTTCCAGAACCACGGGCAGTACTTCGCCTCGCCGACGACGACGACGCCGACGACGAGCGACGGACTCAAAGCGGACAACGGCAATAACGACGACGACGACGACCGAACGGCGGACGACTGAAGGCAAACAACGGCGACGACGACGACGACGAACGAGCACTTCGCCTCGTTCATGCCATCCTCGACGACATCCCGTGCCCTCCGCATCATCACAATCGTTGCCGTGCCGTCCATCGGCAGCTCATCGCTGGTGCCTGCAGGGAGGGGGGGAGGAGGAGGCGACCGACGAAGACAGTGGCGAGGCCGACGACGAGGCGACAAGGCGACGACGACAAGGGCAACGACGGCAACAAAGACAACAACAAAGACGGAATGATCTGGGATAGACCTGGTCCAGGTGGGCCCTGTCTGGCGTCCCCGAACGTGGTCCCGGAAAACCCTGGAACCGCTTGGTCCGGGATGACGCCTTAGGAGGCAACTCCTGGGAGGTCTTCGCTGGAACGATTAAAGAGCGATGAAGCCCGATTAGAGGGCCACTTCACCGGATTGGGCCAGACGAAGCCCAGGATTAAGTTGGATTTAAGCCGTACTAAGCGGGAGTAAGCAGGATCAAGCTGGATTAACCCAGATTAAGCCGGTCATCGACCACGAAAATACAAGCGCCGAGACGGAGATGAACCTCCCAGGAGTTGCATCCCAAAACGCCTGTTTCAAGGAAGTACTGGTCAGCTTTTCGGCATCGACTGCAGTCGGCGATGCCCTTCGTGGCGGAGGGCAAAATGCGTGACAGAGGCGGCGCTGTCGAAGAATAAGCGTAAGTGGTGAGCGCTGATCAATGGCATGCCGGCGACACGATGCTCGTCAGCAACAATACGGAACAAACTTCACGTTCCACTCAATTATATCATCGAAGATAGTGCACGCTACGGCCTGCAACTAAACTGGGACAAAACAAGTGCTATTAGTATAAACCGCAATAGTGTGATTTCAGACCCGGCGAGGACACCAGTTCCGAACTGTTGACGATGTTGTGCATTTGGGGGGATGTTGACATCAAACATGGCAACCAAACCAGAACTAACGCGCAGAATTGGTGAAGCAAAGGCGATGTTCAAATCTCTACAAATGCTGGGCACACGCGACTATCACGCGAGTTCGAACAATGCAGCTGTGCAGAGCAGTCGTTTGTGGTACCAATTATTGATATACAACTTGGATTCAATCTGGCCGCTTCGAGAAGACACGCAGAAACTTGACGGATTCCACGCGCAGCGTCTCAGGACAAGATTACCCATCTCATCTTCATTTGTATCTCGAACTCCATACGCAACCATATTGGAATTAAGTGGCAAAGCGACGGTGAACACCGCGCTTAGTGAGAGGCAAGCTGCACGGCACGGTAGGGTGAAATCGCGGCCCTCTCAGAAGATAACTCTTTACGAATGCTCACTTGCAAGCCGCACTCGAGCGAACCGCGGCGCTGGGACCTTCGCCATAGACGAGGGAGGCCTAAGCAGCAGTAGTCTGCAATTACGCGCTCGCAAACAATGTGTCGATCGTTGGCTCTGGCGTTCCTCTCCCTCCTTCCTTGCCTCCGTCCTCTTGTCCCGCTCCTCCCCCCTCCATCTGCGAGCGTTCCACTAATAACTTCTGACTTGCCCGTGCGCCGCCGGGGCGCCAAGCTTGGGTGACTGACTGACCTGCATGGGGCAGGACGTGATCTGGGAAGGCTCGAGTGGGGTGCAATCCGGGCAACTCCAGCGCGCAAGCGGGAGGCCCCTGACCACCCCCCTGCCCTGATATAACTTGGGGCTCCGAGGCAGGACCACCTCCGCCCTGGAGGCGATTTCTAATTTGGATCCCTGCGCTTCAGGCTTCGAGGCCAGACGGCTGCGACCACAGAATGCTAGGTGTGACGCGAGACTTGCCATCGTCGTGCCAATGCGAGCGAAGACACAAGCGGACGAGTCGTTGCGCCCCCCCAAAAAAATCTTGGGCGACGCGCACAAAGGGGTAGGCGGAGGGGGAGAGGCTTCTCGGGAGGCTGCTCCTTGGAAGGTGCCAGCCTCACATCTACAGATGTGGGAGGGGATGCGAAGGGGCCCTGCGACACACAAATAAATAGACACAAATACCAGGATTCCCCATATTTTCCCATATTTTCTGGGTTTTTGTCTTCCCCCCACTTCCAATATTTTCCTATATTTTCTGGGGGATCGACGATTAATTGTATCTGTGTGTGTTCTTTCCCTCCTGAGGATTGTGGACAAAAAATCAAAAATAGTCAAACAATACCCAATAATAGTTCAAACAATACTCAAAAATCGTCCCCTGATGATTTTTTAACTATTTTTGAATATTCCTCCTGTAGAGGGACCTGCCCGACTGAAAGACAGTCCCGCGCCTTCACAGAAGCAGGGGTGCCTGTAAGAAGCCTTCGCCGAGAATGCGGAAAAACCTCCCGTCTGGATTCTTTCATTACCCCTCATGCGCGTGGCCGAAACCTCTCCCCCCAGACATCCGGCTGCTCTAATTTTTTCGATGCATGGGCCCCGGAGGTCTGGACCTCTTCCCTAGGGCTAGCTTCTCGTCCTGACCAGTTCTGTTGACGCTCCCGAGGCCCAGCGAGGGCCCCCAGAGGCTGAAAACGGCCGAAGACCGCCCGCTCCAATGTGCTTGGAGCGTCGGATGCGTGGGTCGCGACATGTATCTAGGCCTCCTAGATTGGGTCGGACTAGATGGGTAGATGGGGTCGCAGGATCGCTCCGCATCGCCGATGCATCGGCAGTGCGGCTCGATGCGGAGACCGTGCTTCCCCACGCCGACGTCGCCGATGCGGCGCGACCCTCCGACCCCGTCTGCTCGGACCCCATCTGGGAGGCCTCTACTGTAAGGCGGATTCAACCGCCGAGCCGCCCTGCACCATGGCGGGCGCCCAACGGCTCCCGCGCCGGGCCGCGCCGCGGCTGCCCGGGCGGAGCGCGCTGGCCGAGCCCCGCACCCCGCTGACTGAGGGCCCCTCTGGAGCCGAAGCGGCGGCCGGGCCATCCCGCTGCTCCGGGGCCGCCCGCCTCCCCGTCCGCAAGTCGCCGCCTCCGCCGAGTCCCCGCGGGAGGAGGGGCAGGAGGAGGAGGAGGAGGAGGAGGAGGAGGAGGAGGAGGACAAGGAAAAGGAGGAGGAGGACGAGGAGAAGCGGTAGTACCTCTGGTTCCGCCTCCATCCCCTCCGCCTCCGCCTCTTTCTCCTCCTCCTCCTCCTCCTCCTCCTCCTCCTCCTCCCCTCCTCCTTCTCCTCCTCCTTCTCCTCCTTCTACTCCTCCTCCTCCTCGTCCTCCTTCTCCTCCTCATCCACCACCTCCTCCGCCTCCACCCCCTCCTCCTCGTCCTCCTCCGCCTCCTCCTCCTTCCTCTTTTCCTCCTCCTCCTCCTCCTCCTCTCCTCCTCCGTCGTCCTCCTCCTCGTCCCTCCTCCTACTCATCTTCCTCTCCGCCTCCACATCATCCGCCTCTGCCTCCGCCTCCGCCTCCTCCTCCTCCTCCTCCTCCTCCTTCCTCGTCCTCGTCCCTCCTCCTCCCCTCCTCCTCCGCCTCCGCCTTCCTCCTCCTCCTCCTCGTCCTCCTCCTCCTCCTCCTCCTCCTCCTCCTCCTCATCCTCCTCCTTCCTCCCTCGTCCTCCTCCTCCTCCTTCCTCCTCCTCCTCCATCCTCCTCCTCATCTCATCCTCCCCCTCATCCTCATCTCTCATCCTCATCCTCCATCCTCATCATCATCATCATCATCATCATCATCATCATCATCATCATCATCATCATCATCATCTCCTCATCCTCATCTCATCCTCATCCTCATCCTCATCCTCATCCTCATTGATCCTCATCCTCATCATGATCTCATCATCCTCCTCCTCCTCTCCTCCTCCTCCTCCTCCTCCTCTCATCCATCATCATCATCATCATCATCATCCTCATCATCATGCTCATCAGCAGCAGCAGCAGCATCATCATCATCATCATAATAATCATCATCATCATCATCATCATCATCATCATCAATCATCATCATCATCATCATCATCATCATCATCATCATCATCATGATCATCATCATCATCATCATCAGCATCATCATCATCATCATCATCAGCATCATCATCATCATCATCATCCTGCTTCCTTCTCCTCCTCCTCCTCCTCATCCTACTCCTCCTCCTCCTCCCCTTCTCCTCCTTTTCCTCCTCCTCCTCCTCCTCCAGACAAAGTCCTGAACATTTAAACATCCCCACACCTCGCGCGGAGTTTCCTCCTCCTCCTCCTTCTCCTCCTCCTCCGCCTCCTCCTCTCCTCCGCCTCCGCCCTCCGCCTCCTCCTCCTCTCCTTTCTCCTCCTGCTCCTCCTCCTCCTCCTTCTCCTCTCCTCCTCCTCCTCCTCCTCCTCCTCCTCCTCCGCCTCCTCCTCCTCCTCCTCCTCCTCCTCCTCCCCCTCCCCCTCCCCCTCCTCGTGCCCCTCCTAGCCGTTCTTCGTTCAGGGAACATTGCAAACACATTCTTCCGAGCGGCTCGTGTTTGCGAGCCAATCTGGGATCTCACGACCGCCATTCCGTGATGGCACCACATGCTGGCGGCCACGGCTCGGCGCCAGCTCGCCGCACCAAGGGATGCGTGAGCGGCGGCAGCCCGGTGCTGGGGCGCGTGGGCTC